AACACACACAAACACACAAATACACACAAAGAGAACTAACATAATAACGTAAAACGACAACTATGTTCACAAGTTGACGTGACTCACCACTCGAGCTCCCAGTTCCACAGAGCGCGGCCAGCAGTAGGCACACACCAGGCAGCAGTGATAATCCCCTAGTCAGACCCGCCATGCTGGTCAGCTGCGTGTCCACCAGGCCAGGAGATGGACGCCGTCAATCAAAGGAGAACACGGAACTTTCCGCGGGACACAGCCGCGCGACAAATTAAAAACAGCGGGAGTCTGGATGATAATTGACCGGTCCACAACCTTTTGTCTCCGCTCACAGGAGAAGGGGAAGACGGTCCCAAACACAAGATAGATAAGGTCTGCCCGAGGGTCACAGGGTAATCACAAACCTGGAGGGCTTCTGGTAATATCCAAATCCTTGTCAGAGGTTGCCCAGGGGCCAACGAAGAAACCGAGAGCCTTTGCACAACAAGACTCTCCCTAATTGCTGGTCCACAAACAACAGAAAAAAATGTTTCGTTTTTCTGAATTTCCCAGAAGAAAAACAAAACAACAACAACACAGAATATGCTCACTATTTGGAGTAAATAAAAAAGAATATACTCTGGTTTACCCCAAATGAAAAGTTTGTCTCAGACTGTTGATTTTGCAATTGTCGTCAAGTTGTTGAACACTTTATAAAGTAGAGACAAAAATAACGACATGAATCGAGAGAAATACGATGTAGAGGTGGGTTTATATTGAGGTTATTTTCAACACGTTAGTCCAGACTGTTCTGGTCGGAGAGAGCATCAACTTCTCAAAGGACGCAGTGCTCTACCTGAAAAGTGGAAGGAAAGAAAAATTCATATATCAGACCCATCGCCAAGTTAAAACAAAGAGAAATACAATTTAGTGTCACACAGCAGTAGGGATGGGAAAGGAGGTCGGTGGAGGAAAGGGGTTAGAAATAGGTGGGGGTCGGTGGAGAGAAGTGAGAGCAGCTGGGTTCTCCTCTTGAATACATACCCAGAATGATATTGAACGAGTGCTAAGCCCCTTTCCCCACAATAAGGACATTTAAGAGGCAGGACACCTGATTACACTTTTATCTTCAAGAAGACGAAGGCAAGACTCGTGGGAGGACGGGCGTTATCTTTTAAGTCCAAGAACTTTCTTCACACAAGTCAAAGAACGTTCATCTAGGGATGCAATCCAAGACGGCTAGCACAACAACCGAGCTCTACACCAACTGAGACAAAAGTATGAGAACATCCCTCATAGCCCTCCCCCCTCCCCCCCAAAAAAAACACCCAGGTTTGTAACCACGCATAGTGTCCCCCCTTGCCCGTGTCTCTCCACCCCGAAGTCAACACCAAACAGCTACGCATAATCTCAAAATTCGCCCCCCTTAAATGGCCCTCCTCCCTAATCCTTGGGGTAAATTAGTGGAATTCCGGGCAACCCAGAGAAAATCACCTGCTGAAACTGACGTTTTGGAATCCAAATTGGCTAGTTGTGGCAAGTAGGAACTATGATGGCTCACTAGGCTAAGGTTAAATCCTTTGTAGATATCTAGGTATTAGTTGGCTTAGCCTGGGTGGAAGGCGCCCAGCCGCTTTCATTGGCAGGTATCGAGCTTGTGTTTACAAAAAAGACGTGTATATCACAGCGTGCGTTGTGGGCTGGAATGCCATGTCCTGTAATCGTTTCAAGATAATGTATGACCGAGAACCCTTTTTGGGGGAATACCTATCTCTGAATATGCCGACAGGAGAAAAGCTAAGTGGACATTGTGGGTGGTTGGTGGGTGCTGTGGAGTTTTCTTTTTCTTTTACAGGTTATCTGTGTTAACAATTTTTCTTTTTCAACCTAGCCAAAAGTAGCCGATGGTGTTGCGTAAAATAATAAATCATCTACAGCGGCATACAGAAGAAGTAAGAAGTGTTAAGTTCCTGAATAGCAACAACAAATTTCCTCTGTTGTTGCTGCTGCTGCTGTTGTTGCTGCTGTCGTTGTTGTTGTTGTTGTTGTTGTTCTTGTTGTTGTTGTTGCTGTTTGTTTGTTGTTGTCGTTGTTGTTGTTGTTGTTGTTGTTGTTGTTGTTGTTGTTGTTGTTCTTCTTCTTCTTCTTCTTCTTCTTCTTCTTCTTCTTCTTCTTCTTCTTCTTTTTCTTCTTCTTCTTCTTCTTCTTCTTCTTCTTCTTCTTTCTTTTCGTCTTTCCCCCAAGTCCTCTCCTCCTCCCCACTGCACACAACCCTACTCCTCCATTGTACTTCCAATTCGACCACAGCACAAACCACAATACCACATGAGGTCACTCACCGTCCGCGGCGCCTACCGGCCCATCAACACCTAGGCTACGTATCCTGTGACGTCATCGACGGAAGTGACGCGTTTCTGCACCTCGTTCTGAGAGGCGGTTTGGGAAGATGGGAGGACATCCGGTAGGGTCTTGAACCCCTGCACTCCACGTCAGATTCTTGTCTCCTGTTAGAAGAGAACGGTAAAGAAAAATTAAATAAAATGGTTGTACAGTCGAAGCGGACGTCCTAATAACTAAAACTGTGTCAATTTGAATATGCTCCTGGGGTGAACGGGTCATCTTTATTTAAGGTCAATAGAATGTTTGCTATCTATATTTTAACGTACTCTTGTTAATCCAGGTCCTAATAGACAAAATAGGCAGCTCTGTTTGATGACGGGGAATGTATTGTGTGGACAGACTGGTCCAAACAAACTAAAAAGGTTTTTTCCCCGGTACGTTATTTCATGTATGTTCACCAATGATTTTGGCAGTGTGTATGTTTTTGTGATTGTGTTTCCTGTGTTGAGTGTGAGCATCATTACACAGTATGTGGTCTGTCATTTATAAATTAATAAACCTATCTTTGAATGAACGCTGAAACAGGTATTTTACTGCACAAGGAGAGCTGAGAGGAAGGGGGGGAGAGACAGACAGACAGACAGACAGACAGACAGACAGACAGACAGACAGACAGACAGACAGACAGACAGACAGACAGACAGACAGACAGATTAAATGAGTAAATGAGTGATAGACTTCCAAAAAGTGGGAGACGGGAAAAGACGAGACATTTGGAACATCGAACATACAGCTTTAACATTAACAAAAATAAACCCAAAAAATACAGCTAAGAAGAAAAGTATATCATGTGCGTGGCAAAGCGTTTGTGTGGGGTTTCTTTCTTTACAACACAGTAAATTATTCCCAAGCTTTTTCTTTGTCTAATCTTTGAGAGTGTCTGGAGAAGCAACTTCAAAGGGCATATCGTGTACTTCGTCAAGAGGGAAGTTTGAAATTTTGCACACTTTATCTCGATCATAATCAAACGGAGTCGACACAACACGACAGTTTAAGTCTTTAGATCCTCTTGTCCATCACCTTTGTCAGATCTACTCTTTGTTGAACTTAACCTCTCCAGACAAACAATGAAAAATAAGTCCATCATCACCCCCCCCCCAAAAAAAAAGGGGGGGGAAAAGAGAGAAAAAGAAACTGGAACTAAAAACCAAAGTACGATAACATGGATACATTTGCAAAGTTCACACTTTCAATTTAAAGAGTACTTCTGAGGGTCAGAAGATAAGCAAAGGAACACAACAGATAACAGTTGGAGTCACTAGGATGAACAGAACTATTGCCCGCTGGGAACGGGCGGGTCAGATAAAGAAAACACAGCCATGTCAGAAGTGTAATAGCTTTCTAAACAGGTCAAGCTAGTCAGACTAAATGAAGATAAATCATCTTTTTCGTCTCACTGTGAAAATAAAAGAAGTAGTAAGTGCGTGGTAAAAACAAAAGATGTTGATTTTAGTTATTTGCAGTAGATGATTGGCCTCCTAACTTTAAAGCGATTAAATTTCCCACTAAAGGAGCAAAGTGGTCTAAACTGAGAACTGATGAAACGATTTTCTTTTGACAAAAAAGAACAGTTTGTCTCGGTTTTTCAGCTTATTAATTATACTTCTGTAAACATCTTTATCCACGGACAGGTATTGGTAATAGTTTATTATCAATTCTACGACATCATTATATTAGTCTATCTGTCCCCCTGTCCTGCCCCTGCCCTACTCCTTGAGGGGGTTCTTTTTTCGAGGAAGGGAGAAATAGACCCATTGTACACCAGCCGGAGGTACAGCCCTTTCGGTTGTAAAACCCCGCCCAGGAGTATCAACACTAACTGTACTTTAAGATTGTTTCGTTCTTCTGTTTTCTGTCCGTTTGACTGACTGTTTGATTGTTCCGCCTTTGAATAAATCATCTTGTGTCAAGCACACTTCTTGTACCGGTCAACACTTATCAATGTCAATATATTTACTCGCTTAAAGTTTTTAGGTCGCCAGTTAACGCCCAGTTTAAACATTAAACTAAGGCTCTCCCATCCCCCTCCCCATTTCCCCCACCCAAACTTCTACCCAGAAAAATGATGTCATCTGGCATAGGGAAACGAAAAAGCGCCATGTCGCAAATGGTCACGACTATAAATAACCCCCACGCCTATAAAATAAGTTGAAATCAGAGAAATGTTGAGAAGTGCTACAAACCCATTACAAAACATATGCTTCAGACTGACGCCTAGCAACAACGGGACTGTCACTCAAAAACTAAGGGAAAGCCAAATGGGAAATTAATAGCTTTTTTGTCAACTCCAAGAAGTAATACATTTTCAGCATATTCTATGTTAAAATGTTTTCAAGTTGTCAACTGAGATCACCACCCATGTATTAACCAATTGCTTGCCTTATGCTCTGGCGTTTTCTTTCTGTTAAAAACATGGGCACAAAAAATGATCAAAGGCACAGCTGTTCAGCGCACCTTGAAATGTTCCTTCATTTTTTCAAGATAAGGCAAAAAACCAATTTGGAACATATAGCTATGTACTTGTATACGGGCTTTGACCTTCCATTTCAGCCAGCAAAACTGTCAAAATGTTTATTGACAAAGCCTATTTATAACAGCAGAACACGAGTCCCTATCAATTCTAAGCTATTTGCGCACACGTCTTTGGGTGGAATCCAATTTGCATTTTATGCTAATCTATATCAGTTCAACAGGTTCAAAATCGTTGCGGTCTTCTTTCAGTCTCAAAAGGACCTCAACCTCTGTTTTGTAACTTCGAGACGTGCTCGGATTTGGTGTATTAAAAAAGCAAAAGCAAATTCCGGCAGCATTCCGAGTGTGTCTGCTTGTGGTCCTTGGAGACATCAAGGTTGCCGTTATAGTGTGGGAAAGAGATGGAATAAAAGGGAAAGAAAAAGGGAGAAAGGGTTATTTCAGGAGCAAAACACCCGGTAAGAAGAAAGTTTCTACGAGACAAAACTTAGTCTATACAGAGATATAGGTTTTCAGATGGAGTATATTAAAGCTGTTTTTAGAATACTACCGAGACAGCGTCCTTGCCCCCCCCCCTTCTACACCCCCCTCCTCCCCCCAAACCGCCCCTACAACTCCGAGTACACGATTTTTTCAAAAGAAGTGTTCTAGCTTTTTGAGCGATTGCTTGTATTTTGGAGACAAGGGCGGGGTTGAACATTTTGTACGTTGATGTTTGCTGGTTTGTAATACTCGATTAGAGATCATCCACCCCTTTTGGGCTGAGTTTTTTTTCTTCTTCTTTTTGTTGTCCTTTTTTCTCTCTCGTTGATGGAGGTAACAGAAAACATGCAGTACGCTGAAGATAAACTTTTCTGTTCAAGTTGTCATCGATCGGGCTTTTCTCTCTTTCAATGAAGCTGAGAAGAAATTATTTTGAAAACTAACATACATTTCAAAGACTGCGAGCCAAATACTGTTTGGGATGATACCAGTGTAGGACTTAACTATAAACCGACTATCGAGTTCAATGTAGTGTGGGCTGGTCAGCACATACTGCTGCGTGTTGTTAAAATTTCTGGGTGAAACGGCTAAACCACATACCTGACAATTACTGTTGGAATGTAATGCTGTCAATATTATTGTATCTCTTTCTCCTCCCTCCCCCCCCTCTCTCTCTCTCTCTCTCTCTCTCTCTCTCTCAATTTTTCTCTCTCTCTATCCTTGTCTGTCTGTCTGTCTGCCTCTCTTTCTCTCTGTCACTGTCTCTGACTCTCTGACTCTCTGTCTCTCTCTCTCTCTCTTTCGCTCGCTCCCTCTCTCTCTCTCTCTCTCTCTCTCTCTCTTCCTAAGTCGTTGATAGGACCCCTCACACACCCTCTCGCAGGTAAGTAGGTCCCTTCAAAGAGTTGATCCTATAGAGCCATACAAAGTCTATTTCACGCTTCTCAGGTCCGCAAGAAGGACTTACGTTCGCTCGGATCGCACGCAACAGGCGGAAAGAAAACAGTGAAAGAACTCAAGTGCATTTCTGATTACGCCAAGTTGCCGACCGTCTGTGTTGTATATATCCTGTCCTGACAGTCGAATCGCCTGGATTGTCAGGCAGAAAACCAAACACACGAGGAGCCTAAGGCGAGTAGTTGGACTTCCCTGGTTCTATAGAGAGACGGGGGAGACAGTAAGTCAAACGCCTGTTTTAATTGTGGACAGAAAGCTGTCAAGACCTTTTGGAACGACGGGAGAAACACACTGGTCCTGAGCTGAGACGTTTTATCAACTTCGCCGAACTTCGCCTACTTTCACCGAACCTCGCCGACTTCTGCCGAATTCTGCCGACTTTTGGCGGCATATTATGTCGACCGTTGCTGGAAAGCTCTATAAGCAGACTACATGTCCGAGGCTCAAATAAATTAGGTCGATCAATGATAAATAGCATCCACTGAAGTGAATACGTCATGAGTTTAGAAAAAAAGCATCTTAATATGTAGAGTTTCTCACTTATTTCTTTACTTAAAATGCCAACTTTCCCTCATTTTCTTTAATTATTGTTTTATTTGAGTACAGAGAAGCGCATTTAGTGCAGGGGAGGGTAAAACAGACAGACTGAAGCAACAGAGGGCAAGAAAAAAAGTAGGACCTATCAGTGGCGGCATCCAACCACCAGCATACATTCATAACTGTTGAAGAAACCTACGAAAATCAATCTTGCCGAGACACTTTAGGAGCGACGTTTTAAAATCAAAATCAGAGCCTCCGTCCTTTCTCTGCGACATATATGTTCGCCAGAAGGACAGCAGAAAAGCACCGTTGACTGAACTACGGCAGTGTGAAAATGACTTTATCTGGTAGCTTGCTCAAGGGAGGGTGGCAACTTTTTTTCAGATTCCTGGGCAAAAGCTGTTGGTATAATCCTTTCTCCAGTCAGGCATAGGCCAGGGGTCATTCAGGTGTGCGGGAGTGCACCAGGGCTAGCACATTGGTCACCGAGGTAAGAGGAATAAAACAAAGTAGAGAGCTCTCAAAGAAGAGTTACTGTCGTCGAAAGTAAGTCAGGTACTTTTGGTATTACTTTTGGTATTTCCACAAGAAGGTTTGCTAAGTTCTTCCTTTCATAATAATATAGCACGTCTTGATAATTATTTTGATTAACCGCTTGCTCGTGCGCTTGTGCTTTTCATACGAGTTCTAACAATATTCTTAAATCTTTTCTTCTAATTGTTGAAATTTCGCAAGTTCGAATCTAAGAGTGGTCCTTTTATTTTGCGGGATGAACCTCCTGTTGGAAAGCAGCGTGTCTTCATCCTGACCCCTGACCCCCCCTCCCTTTTTTTCCGGTCCCCTGGGTACAGAATACGAGCTGGGGCCAATAGTAGTATAGGAGTACGGTAACAAATATTCTTCAAAATAAAAAGATAAAAAGTAAATTATGCGAGTATCTTCTGTGACGTTCACTGAAGAGTCTCCTTGCGGATTAACTCTCCTCTTAATTAACTTATCACGATTTCTGGGGTGCTATATTTCCCCACAGCAGTCAGAAGTCATTATTCATCTACAGGCG